ACACAAGATGATGTTAATTCAGTGTTTGTTGTTTGAGGAAGGCAGACAGACTATGGAAACCGGCTTTCTTAAAGCTTGTCAAGCTAGAAAGGACAGAAAAATAGATTTAATCCTAAAAATGGCGTGGAGGTCCCTTGGGTTTCCCCAGGTCCTCACCAGTGGAAATGCCTTGGCCATCAGTCATGGGGCTGGGTTCCTTTGGTGGATCCCAGAACGTGACTCCTTTGCTCTACTGTGGACATCATTCACCCCTTGCAGGCTGCCCAGTTCTGATTCACCATAACCAGATGTCTCTTTGCACGTACCCGGCAGAGCTGAGCACCAAAGTCATCCTTTAATGATTTGGCAGGGAATGGAAGATAAGGAGGGGAGGTAGGGCCCGGAAAACAGGGATGGTCACTTTGGCAGCCCACCCTGACCAGGGGCTTGGAAGTTAGTGTGGCTAGAGGTTGGAAGGAAGCCCCTGCCTGCGGCATGGCCAGGGAGGGGTGACTCCAGAGCTCATCGTGGGCCCTCCGACTTCGACTCAGCACTTACTGCCTGGCTATGCTGTCTTGAGCAAGGATGTTTCAGCACCTATGGGAATCAACCAAATTATATGTTGAATAATAATTGCTCATTGTTGGCATGTGAGAGCATCCTCCGAGTCTCGCCAACTTTACAGCTGAAGGTACATCTCCTCCACGTGTATTCAAACAGGCCTATTTCCTGATACACCAGTTTAACACAAATGAGACCTGACTACTGACTTGAGCGAAAAGCACAGGGATTTTCCCAGTTACCTGAGGAGAAGTTTTTCTGTAACTGCCGATGATCTGGGGTTATCCCTGCCACTTCTTTCTACAAAGACAACTTCATTCTGAGGAAGGTGGACTCTCACGGGCCTCACCCACAGCACTGATGGCCTGAGGCTTCAGGGTGTTTATAGGGAAGGTTATCCTGCCCTGCCAGTGGCATCCATGATTTTGAAGAGTTAGCTCAAAGTTGAGAGAAGACTGCAATTTTTTTTCTTTTGGACATGACCATCCATGTCATGGGCACGTCTGTCTGGTTAGTCAGCTCAGTGAAGTCCAAAACATTTCTTCCTTGAAGAAATCTCTCGAAAGCACTCCCAGACAGCGTAAGTCTTGTGATGTTCTATTCTCCTGAGCAAGAGCCTCCATGCTAGTGGCCAGAAGCTTGTAGCTCACATGGGGCGGGGGTGTTGTTTTCACGTGTCCAACCCACTCCTGGGTTTTGGACTTGTGTTGTGGGAGACAGGCTGCTGAGCGCCACCTTCCCATCCATCAGAAGTGTCACCTGAGGGCCCTCCCTGGTGGCCCAGC